TCAAGTCCAAGTCAAGTTGTGAGTCATGTAACTCCTTACCTATGTCAGTTTTTTTTAATCTTTAGTGATTAAAACTTGTTGCAGAGTAAGTTGTAGATGAACATCCTTGATAGGCAGAGGTAGGTTGAAAAGAGAGTCTCCACTCTGTTCTTACACAATTTTTACGTCCTAGAGTTTTTACGTCTGTGTATATGCAGGAAGTTGTTCATATTTCCAACAAACTCTCTCAGGAAACCTTGCATTCAACCAAATGAAAGTGCAAACAACAGAGATTATAGAATGAAATTATAAAATTAACGTTATGGTATCCAGAGGGAGGACTATAACCTCAAGTATTCTTGAGTCGTATGGTCCAAGTCTTCATTCATTTGCCCTCAAGTCTTATGGTCCAAGTCAGTGACCCAGGAGAACAGCTCAGTGCTGCATGCTGATGGGGGCAATTTTATAACAGCCCTTTGAAATCTTATACTGCAATATTCATTTTCTTTTTTAGAAGTTCAAAGCAGCTGCACTAATTACATGTTCTAACATCTTAATGATTGAATCAAAATAAGATAGAATCTACTGTGCAAAGGAACATTGGGTTTTATTTGTTTTTTGTTATTCATTTTAACTCGGTTATCTGACACTTTCATAGTCATTTGAACCCACAACCTTTATGTCATTAGCACACTGTTCTATTGACTGAGCTACCACATTTAAATCTGAGTTAATCACATCAGTGGTACTACAGCAGTCACGTGACTCACTATCCTATTAAAGCTGTTTGCTGATCCGTAGGTCTGTGAAGTTCCTGATGAAAATTCCCTTTGAAAACTTTCTTGAAACCAAAAAAAACGTTAAATGATCTAAATATTCACTTGGCAGACATTCCAGGGTGGGGCCAGGTCAGGTGACAAGCTGACTCATTCACTTTGCCTGTGCTTGATTACAAACTGCACAGTCCACACCCCGGCGATACCCTTTCCAAGACAAAAAGCCTCTCTTGCATGTTTCCCTTTAGCTCTAAAGCTAAAACAGTAGCCTCTCCTTTACATACTTAGCAGATGTGCACTGTACATTTTTGAGAAGGAAAATCCCTAGACCAGCTGGGTGTTCAGGGTCTTGCTCAAGGGCCGAATAGTATAGTCAATCTGGCAACTCTAGGAGTTGAACCAGTAACCTTCCAATCGCAGGCACAGCAAACTAGCACGCTGAGCCAGGCACCAATCCTCAACTTCTTTGTTAAACCAATTTTGAGTCCATACCAGAATAACAATCCCCATTCCTTTCTCTCGTTGCTGTATCGCATGATTCTATTTGCAGTCTGGGCTGATGAAAATCTTAAAACTACACCCAGCCGGTCAGCTTGTGATTTCTTGTGTTGTGTGATTTCAGAGTCTGTGCTGCGTGGGACAAATTGCCAGTGAGGGAAGCCATGTTGTTTTATAAGGGGTGGAACATGTTTCATCTGTTGTTGAAAAATTTCTGGAAAGTAACGTTTGGCAGTAAATCGAGCTGTGAAGTTTACAGACTTTTTTTTTCGCGGCATGTTGAAAGACAAAACTACCCTGTTAAAGAAGTTTCCCAGTTGGGATGCCAGGATTTCATTCAAACCATTGTTTAAAAATGTATGTTGACTCTTGGAATCACAAACTGACCTGGATTGATGTTAAGTTGATGTGTCTGATGGACTACTGATGTTTGAGCTGTCTGGTAAGCATTCCCTAAACGTGACACTTCAGGATACATTGACCCGGTTACCTTTATAAAAGCAGATGTCATGTCCTGGCCTGGCCTACAAGGATGTGTTCCTGCTCTCCTTACCGTGAGGGTCCTGAGCTGAAACCTGTGGAATCTACCCTGTCCATTGGAGACTTTTACGGCTTGGAGGAATGACCTCAGAGTGAGCTGGAACAGATGTAGGGGTTACATCCGACAGCACGCAGCGGCCTCCTGGACAGTAGAGTAACCCAACGTCCTCGAATGCAGCTTAACTGAGCTGCAGCTTCAGCTGTACTCACTCTACGTCAGACTTTTAATCTGATGTTCTATGCTTGTGCCTTAGCTACTGTGGGATAGGTATTAACATGGACTTCAATGAGATGTGTCACATGATCTGAAAATTCATTCATCTTCCAACTACTTGCAGCGGTACACCCTGGGTGGGGTGCCAGTCTTCACACAGCACACACACTGTGAGCATGTGCTTTCCTGCTGCGGTCCAAAGGCATGCAGTTAAGCTGTTAGGTGTCTCTAAATTTGGTTGCAATAGCCAGGCATGCATGTGTCACTGATGTTAATGTGAAACAGCTGGATGAGTCTTTCAATCAAGGAAACAAACCAAGGAAACAAAGACAACATGGATGAGGTGGTCACCCTAGTTCGGGGGTCCAGCACTTTGTAGGGGCCCTAACTTCTACTTTTTTGGAGACCCAAGATAACAGGTGCCCCAGAAGTTCTAGCTAAGCCCTTGACAGTGTATTCTGTGGTTCCTGGTTAGACACCAAGCCTTCATGACTGGTGCAGGGAAGACGCTCGGATAAACAATACATTATAAAATGTACCCAAAAGTAATCTTCTCAGACATAGTACAGATCATCAGCATTTTCATATTGAGTTGGCTGTTATATTATTGTTTTCTGTTCTTTAAGAAATGACCCCAGATATACACGAACAATAGGGAAAAAGTTTGCTACTTGTCCAGATTATTTCCTGCTACGGAACGATGCAATGGAAATGGGAGCGTATCCAGAATTAATGGTACCTTTGGACATGCATTAATCTTTACTTCATGAATGCATTTCCATATGGAGATTTGAAAAGACCTGTTGCAGAGAGAGAGAGAGAAAGAGAGAGAGAGAGAGAGAGAGAGAGTGAGAAAAGGGAAAAGTGAAGCAGCTAGAGATTTGGCTGGGAAGACAGGCCATGCCTCTCTCTCTCCGTCTCTCCCTCTCTCCCTCCTCCCTCCCTCCGCCGTTCTCTGCCCCGTTCCCGTCCTCTCCTCTGCTGTCCCAGGCGCTCACTCCCACTCACATCTGGAAGGCATCGGGGCAGACGGTGAAGCTTCAGCTCTCCTTCCATTCCTGTTAGGGGACCTTTTCTGGTGGGACCGCAAGTCGTCTCCCTCGGTCGCTCACCTCGCCTAGAGACGGTAAAGAAAAGTCGACGCGTGCCACCACATTTTAGGGTTGAACCCCGTGGGCCGCTCTGAGCTTGAGCTCTGTACGTCTTTAAGGTACCGCCTGGCCACGCTTGGGGGTAACAGCTTGAAAGAGACAGAGCTGTGAGGATGCCCCTGATGTCTGATTGTGCTCGCTGAGGCTTTTGGACGCCTGTATGGAGATGGAACTTGAGAGCTTTATTTTGTAGAGTGCCGTGTGTAAGCCACTAGTCACGGTTTTGTCATAAGTAATTACTGGCCATCGGGATGGTTGTTGGACACACAGCCTGAGGGTTCTGGATCCCTGAGAGAATCTTTTGGAGGCGTTAATAGTTACAAAAACTACTGCCTCTTTGGAAACCGTCCATCAACGCTGGAGGAGATGACAGAGTAGACATTTCATGGCTCTCCGGGAAAATGCTGCAATCTGCTGGTAAAAAAATAAGAAGGACTGCTCGGGACGAAATTCAGAGGCGTATGTAGAATATTAGGCTCTGCGTGTAGCAAAACATTGAGGACGACATGCAAGAAGGTAGAAGCCTAGCATGCAACAAGTTATTGAGCTTGAAAAAACGCAGAGCTCTGCATGTAACTGAACACAGCTCTTTTTGCAACAAAAAATTTCTTACAGAATTTTCACGTTTTCACAAATAACACAAAAAATTATGTGTCTTCTTATTGCATCATACAAAAGGTTTTCAATAAACAAAGTAAACTTTTCTACTCAATATAAGACTGAGAGTCAATTGACTTGCATATAAGAATATTGAATTGTTTACATGTAATACCACTAATGCATAAATGTAACACACATTGTAGAAATGCGAACTGATGTGTACTATTTTTAGTACCAGGGTATGGGTTAACTAGCAGTATTTAAAGTGACTTAACCATCATCCACCTGTTTTTCAGCCAGCAGAAACACATTATACTATTGCATAAAGAAATATTTCATTTCACTAAAATGGCAATTATTAAAGTGCATGTATGAATGTATAATGTATTAATTAAAATGACAGTAGCTAGACAGCTGTGACAGATCTGTTAGAAACAGACTAGGTTCCATTTATAAAGGCATCTAAACCAGGAGAAGAAATATTAAGACCACACTGTGGTCTAAGGGTGATACTGCATGTTTTATATGGTACTTTAGTTTAAAACACTGATGGGGACTGATTGGATGGTTTCATAGGAATATCTGATGTGGAAAAGAACTTTATAGTAGCATGATGTCTTTATGTATTTAGTCCAACCAGGCCAAACAGAAACTGAGATTTTAAAAAAACAAAATGTTCCTTGGTGAATGACCCAGTTGGTAAGTAATGAAAAGTAATGGAAAAAGAAATTATACTACTGAGATTTTGCTGAAGAGAAAAACTGAGTGAAAACGTCCAAGGTTTTCCTGAGCCCACAACAAATGATGTAGCTGTAAAGCCTTTTTCTCGAGTCTCTACCAGATCCATTACCAGTGCCTTGCTTTCCCTCTCCTTCAGAGCTCTGTGTGGTGCAGTAAGAATCCTGCTTGGCGCTCTGGCTCTTCAGATCTCTGTGGTGCAGTAAGCACCCCGCTCAGCGCTCCAGCCCATCAGACCTCTGTGGCACAGTAAGGATCCTGCTCAGTGCTTTGGCCCTTCAGAGCTCTGTGTGGTGCAGTAAGATTCCTGCTCAGAGTTCCAGCCCTTCAGAGCTCTGTGTGGTGCAGAAATAATCCCGCTCAGTGCTGTGGTCCTCCAGAGCTCTGTGTGGTGCAGTGAGAATCCTGTTCAATCCCGCTCAGCGCTGCCGACTTGGAAAGGGGGAGTCAAAGGTACTGGGGATAGAGCCTTCTGTCATTTGGGCACCTGGACGGCCAGTGAGCATGGCGGAACACCAGGGGCTTCTGAGGGCTCTCTGTATTCTCATGCTGGGCCTGGCGCTAGTGTCCAGTGAAGTGGAGATGGAGGAGGATGAGGAGGAGGATGAAGAGGAAGATGAAGTGGAAGTTACACAGTCCACTCGCGTCGCAAAGCCCAGGAGGGTTTACTGTCCACAGGACTGCAGCTGCATGGTGGATGGCGTGGTGGACTGTGCAGGGGTGGACCTAAAGGAGTTCCCCACTCAGCTGTCCGAGGACACGCGTCAGCTCTCACTACAGGTCAGCCGGCCACAAGGGGGAGCTCATCAGATCTCCCACTGGACATACTTAGTGTGGTGCTTCTCACGGCTGTCCCCTTGCGTTCCAGAACAACCAAATTGAAGTGGTGACTGTGGAGGATCTTTCGGGGCTGCACCAGCTGGAGACGCTAAACCTGCAGAACAACCGGCTGACGTCACATGGTAAATATCAGACAGAGGTGTGCTGGGAGGAGCTGATAAGGGAACACCGGCAAAGGAAACTGAAATACACTCACATGACCTGGCAAGTAGCGTGAAAGTCATTCGGAGACAGTAACATAAACAGATTATACCAGAAAATTTGTTTATAAGTGAAAACTGCTTAGACACTTAACAAGACTAAACATTTACTTGTTAATTTACAGTTAAAAATCTAGTGCCATAGTTTACTGAAATAACTGATGTCTGGGGATTTTGTAGGTATGATATTTTGAATCCCCAAACTTACTGTAAGTAAACCACAGTTATCTCAGTTAGTTTTCAAGTTTCTCTGGTTCACTAGGTTAACCATGGAAAAAAATCATTCTTATGCCCTTTTTGTGCATTATAATAACAACTGAAAGAAATAATATTCTATCACACAGTAAGAACAATATTTATTACTTTGCACTGCTGACAAGCAGTGTGTCTTCTGTCTTTTTTCTAACAGTTTAAATAAATTTCTGTATCTGATCTGTGAAGGTCTCTTACATCCAGACACCCTGAGCTGGTTCAGTAGAGAGAGTTTGATATGGGATTTGTGGGGAACAGAGAAGCTCATAGTTGATGTAGAGCTGGGACCAGGTGCAGTGTCTGGTTCACATTTGTAAACTGGGACGTGGAGTCGAATAGGGACAGTACTGGTTTTGTTGTGTGTGTGTGTGTGCGTGCGTGTGTGTGTGTGTGTGCGTGTGTGTGTGTGTATGTGTGTGTGTGTGTGTGCGTGTGTGTGTGTGTGCATGCATGTCGTAAATACTGTAGCACCGAGTCGTTAAATTTTTTGTGAATTTTGCAAGTTATATTTTTGAAAATATTTTCACCTTGTTGGCTGCCAAACCACTTTTGACCCAGTTTCACAAATCATTAGGCTGCAATGACTGGACCACAGGCAGATTCTCTTGTGTTAATGTAAATATGTGAAGGCACTGACCTCTGTTGTGTATTTTGGATGAACCTTGAATTACTACATATCAGACTTCCTGGTTAGCTCATATTTAGATGTCACTCCATGTGTGTTCTGCCCAGTGCTTGAAGTGGGAAAAAATAAGTGCAGGAACTCTAATTTTCTCGGGCCACTGTCGCTGCGTCGGATCAGTTTCAGTAAGTACCGGAACGCAGGAAAAAGTGGTGGAACCCAAAAGACGAAAATACAGAAGTTCCGGAACTGCGTTCCGCTGTGTTTCGGCCCACTTCAAGCACTGGTTCTGCATGAAAACAGAATGTCACTCCATTCAAGTAAAACAGACTTTTTGTCGGACACAGGCCTTGAACATGAGGGATTTGAGGTGATGGAACATTTAAGTTACCTGTACCTGGCCAATAATAAGGTGAGCAATATCACCCCCCAGCACACTCTGACAGGTGACAGCACATTCTGACACACTCTGACAGGTGACTAACACACTCTGACACACTCTGACAGGTGACCAGCACATTCTGACACACTCTGACAGGTGACTAACACACTCTGACACACTCCGACGGGTGACCAGCACACTCTGAGACTCTTATGTGAGGTGGCCAGCACACTCTGACACATTCTGAGACACTGTGACAGGTGACCAGCACACTTTGACACACTCTGAAAGACTCTTATGCAAGGTGGGCAGCACACTCTGACACACTCTGAAAGACTCTTATGCAAGATGGCTAGCACAGTCTGGCACACTCTGACTGATGACCAATACACTCTAACACACTCTGAGACATTCTGACAGTTGACCAGCACACTCTTCTATACTCTGACAAGTGACCAGCACACTGTGATATACTCTGACACATTCTGACATGTGACCAGCAAACTCTGACATACTCTGACAGCCTAACCTTTTCTTTAATTCTTGCAATTAAAAAATAACTATTTATTTAAAAATACTATAATCAGTAATTCTGCTGTTTTGCAATTGAAAGCGATTTATCGATTTCTTCTAGATACTGCATGCCCTACTAAAGATATGGCTTTATGTACTCAGAGACACTGTTGTGTAAAGCTAAAGATGCAAGATGGAGCACACAGGAGCCAGTTCCTCAGACATTAATGCCTGTTATGTGTCAATGAATGTGTACAGCATTAAGGGGGGTGCGCCCACCTCAGAGTCAGCTGACTGAGCTGGTTGTTAGATTTGTTCCTCCCGTTCTTTGCCTCACTGATCACTATGATCACTTTGGCTTAACAGCAGCATGCCGTGGCTCCCATTTACCCTGCAGTGAATGACTACACAGCTTTATGCACCATTTTGCCACACTTTGTGTCCACAGCTCACTACAGCGCCAAGGCACCTACCGCCCTCATTGGTCAGTGCAGACTTTGCTGCCAATCAGCTCACCACCATCTATCCCTACACGTTTGGCCACAAGCTGGGATTGAGGTAAGGGCCCCCTGGCAAATTTTTTTTACTTTTTTAATTTTACTTACACAAAAATGTTCTGAGGACAGAAGGAAAAATGATTGGTTCAATGAGGTGACCAATCAGATTGTAGAGGAGGTAGGACGAACCAATCAGATGTCTTGGTCCCACCTCTTCTAGTTGTATGTATTTTATGTGCATTTGCGCCGATATGATGAGAAGTTATGATGAGTTGCATTTTAACTTCTATACCACAAATGAAGTACGAATTAGCATATAAAATGCACAATAATTTCTTGTCATATCGGCGCAAATGCACATAAAATAAGTACGCATTCATGCTGTTACAACAATCGATTGCCGTACGTATCGCTTTTATTGGTGAATGCATGCTTGTGTACCAGTTATGTCAATCCCTGGTTATCACTCTGAACCAATCATTTTTCTTTCTGTCGTCAGAACATTTTTATGTAAGTAAAACTCCTAAAAGTCACCACCTTTCTGCCCCAGGGCCTGATCATGTTTAATACCCTGGTGCTTTAATGTCCTCACCCTTCGTCCTCACCTCCTCAGGTCGGTTTACCTTCACAACAACAAGCTGACAGATGCTGGCCTCCCTGAGTATATGTTCAATGGCTCTGACAACCTGGAGATCCTCATCATGTCCAGCAACTTTCTGCGATATGTGCCTAGGAACCTTCCAAAGGCTCTCTACCGCCTCCACTTGAAGGTATGGGCATGTTCACCAAAAACATCTGCTTTCTGCCTGTATAAAATGCTACTGAAAGAATTATATGCAAAAGAAACAGTGGAGACATTGAAAGAAAATTCTAAACTATATTCTGTGAAGGGAAATTCTGGGGAAGAAAAATGGACCAGTAGTTTACACATGCCCACCCAGCCAGCACAAATTCTTTATACCAAGAGAACCTAAAGAATGCCCCAGTGTATGATGGGAGAACACAGGGATGCCCCATAGACAGGCTAGCATTTCACCCTGGGCTAGGGTCACCTCTTAATCCATGTCAGGAGGGACACTATGAGATTCTTCAGGTTTTACACACTAGTTTATAATTGAAAGGCTCCTGTGCTCGGCTAAATTGCTTTTTTCATTTTGTGCTTTGACTGGTTTGTTTCCTTGATTGAAAGACTCATCCTGCTGTTTCCCATTAAAATTAGTGACACGTGCATGATTATAGGAGATTGACCAATCAGCACACAGCAAGAACTCAGTGCTTAAGACGAAGTCCGGGTTCTTTTAATTGTATTGGTTGAAATGGTAGTTAATAAACCCTGTCTTAGCTCATAGTGTCCCTCCTGACATGGATTAGTTGGTCACCCTACCCATGGCCCTGCCGGAATTCTGAGGCGTCTTATGAAAAACATGAATCCAGCAGCCATAGGTTCCACTTTCTAATGATGTTTTCATCTTCTCATGGGCAGAATAATAAACTGGAGAAAATCCCACATGGTGCTTTTGACAGTCTGTCCCACTTACGGGAACTGTACCTACAAAACAACCTCCTGAGCAACGATGGTATTGACAACGAGACCTTCAGGTGAGAAGGTTTCACCGGGATCAGACTTGAAGGTGATGAAAAGGTCATACCAGCCAGGTCGTCTAGCATTTCTACAGCTGGTTAAACAATTACCTAACTGTAGATGTTCCAGCGTGAACCAACCAATAACTAAGGACAAAAGAAAATTGATAATGTGAAGTGGTACGCGACTTCAAAAGAAGCAGTCGGGGAACAGTTAAGTTCGTAAAAGATCTTTGGAAAATTGGCCTTATCAGAATCTTTTTATTCGGCAAGAAAGAAAAAAAGTACAACAAATTTGTTTTGGTTCAAGTGGTGGACTGGAGTAAATAAGTAATTATATAAAGACAAAAATACAAAAAATATGAATAGAATTACAGTAAAATGGAGGCAGGTGTAGAAATAAAGATGTATAAATAAAAAGTAAACATGTCAACATATAAATAAAGGGACATTTGAGAACATCATCCTTAGTCAGTGTCTTAGAATGGGTGTAGTCCTGAGGTTTAACCTTCTTTGTCTCCGCTTAGCCATCTGAACAGGCTTGAATACCTGGATCTGTCCAACAACAACCTCAGCATGGTCCCAAAGGGCCTCCCCCGCAACCTGGTGCTACTTCACCTGGAGAAGAACTCCCTCAGCAGCATCCCCGCCGATGCCCTGACCCCCATACGGAACCTCGAGTACCTGCTGCTGCATAACAACCAGCTGCGGGCGCGTTCCATCCACCCGATGGCCTTCCATGGCCTGAAGAAGCTGCACACGCTGCACATGTACAACAACCAGCTAGAGCGTGTCCCTCGTGGGCTTCCCCGGCGTGCCAAGACCCTCATGCTGCTCCACAACTTCATCTCCGAGATCGAGCGCAACGACCTGGCCCTGCTCTACACCCTGACCGAGCTCAACCTGAGCTACAACAAGATCACCAGTCCCCGTCTGCACAGGGAGGCCTTCCGGAAACTTCGCCTGCTCGAGTCTCTGGACCTCTCAGGAAACAAGCTGCACGCCTTACCCGTCGGACTCCCCAAGAGCCTGCAGGTTCTGAAGGTCAAGGACAACCAGATGATTAGCATCCCTGAAGGAGCGCTGGCCAGCATGAGCAAGCTGCGTGAGCTGAACCTGAGCAACAACCAGCTGAAACTCAGCTCCATCTACCAAGGTGCCTGGCAGGAGCTGATCTCTCTGATGGTGAGTGGGAGTGCCTCTGATCTGCCTGCATGTTCTGAAAGGAAAACCATTCAGCTTGAAAATAAAGAACCTTTAATCTTCATCCCTGCTTAGGTTCAGCTGACATCACATCACCTTCACAAGGCAGTAGGATCCTCAGCATTTAAACAGATGTAGTTTTTTCTCCTGTTTTGTGGAAACTTCTTTTTTAAAGTGTATCAGACTTGCTGATTTTTTTCATCCAAACTCACCTAGAACACCTTGCCCTATTTTCAACCTTAAAGAGAGCCGAACTGATTAATAATTGATTAAATTGCTGTAGAATTTACCACTTGGACGACTACTGGGAGTTTCCACCAGCATGGGTGCACTTGAGTCTACTGAGAACTGTTTGTATCACAGACCCTGGACCTGTCAGAAAACCAGCTGTCCCACGTTCCTCCTGACCTCCCGGAGTCCCTGGAGTACCTTTACCTGCAGAACAACCGCATCAGCAGCATCCACGCCAGTTCCTTTGAGAGCGTGCCCAACATCAAGAGCATCTTCCTCAGGTATGCTCACACACATGCGCTCTCTCTCTCTCTCTCTCTCTCTCCAGATGTTGACCACGCTTCATTGCTGTTTACATCTAAGCCACATACAGCAGGGTGCTCAGGACAGATGGTGCTGGATTTTTTTTTATTGCCTCAATGTGGTTAATAGCGTCACCAAAAATGCTCTCCGTTTTGAGGTTTGTTTATAAGATGCCTTTATTCTGCAGGCCAGAATGGATTTCGTTTGTTGTTTTGTCCTGCTACCCATCTGTACCTGCTACCCTAGGAGGCATATGAGGAGCCGTGTCTCTGTAGGGTGACTATCCTCCTGGCAGCAGAACACAACCATCTAAGGTCTGCCTGTCTGTTTACTGGTCCAGGTTATGGGGGAATTCATTCTTTCACAGCTGCTGCATCAGACTTCAGATTTTGGCTTTTGCCTGTGACTAACTTGCAAAGACAACAGTTTTTATTTATTTAGCAAGAACTTTTATTCTCAGAGACATACATTTTCTTTTTGGGAAAGTAGGGCCAGACAGTCTATGAAGCAACTGGGGCTTGAGGGCCCTGCTCAGGGGCCCAATGGTGACATCACTCTTCCAGCTACAGGATTTGAACCGAAAACCTTCCGATCACATTTACAGCATCCCGACTTGCTGAGTCACACAGTCACTCATGACTTTCTATGGAAACAGCCTTGGCGATGTGTTACTCCGATGGAAATGTGCCGTGTGATGTGGTGTAAAGAGTCTTCACAGCTGGTGTCTTCTACGATAAACTGACTTCTCTTTCGATTTCACACCTCAGGTTCAACCGGCTGCCCGCTAATATGGTGAAGGAGAGCGCCTTCTCCTACCTGAAGAATCTGCAGGTGCTGGACATCGGCCCAGGTTCCAGTAGACCAGAAGATGATGGCGAGGAAGAGGAGATGGAGGAGGAAGAAGATGATCAGTAAAAAAAAAAAGTGCAATGGATTCTGGAAAAATGGACATGATGTAGATTCAAAGTGGAAAAAAGTGCATTATTCCTTCTAGTGAGCTTGTATGAATGCAGAGCTGAATTATGGGATGACACACAGCCCCACAGAGAGAGTGGGTGAGGAACTTGTCAGATTTCTATTTGGTGCAGGTTACCAGATGTCTCTGGCTTTGTGTCTGCTCTTCAGCCTGTGCATTTCTCTTCTGCTTGCCTCGCTGTTCTTCCACGTTCCACGCCTAACATGGCATGAACCCATCTCAGGGGTCCTTGAACCTACAAGAGTGAGCTGAGAAGCGTGGGTGGAAGGGATGCTCAGGATGTAGCTTATGGGGGAGGGTATGGATGATCATGAAGGTGGACAGCCCGGTGAGTACTTTTCCTGTACGTCCCCAGATGTCAAACGCTTTGTCCACGGTGGATTCAGAGCCTCAGGTGAGTCCAGGCTGAACCCCTCAGTCCAGGAGTTCAGTTGTGGAGCTCTTTCTAATGTCACTTTTGGAATGATCCGCAAGAAAAGGACACGCTCTCATTGATCTGTTTGCTCTGTCACTTTGCAAACCAGCAGCCTCTTGTTTCAGCGGGAAAAGTCGCACATATTACCAGTGAACTGCCACACTCTGTGTCCGGCCTATTTTCTTTCCAAAGTAAAAGAGCCCATACGTATTTTTTGATATCTGAGAATACTCACACTACAACAGTAATGCAATTCTATGAAATAATGTATTTTGTGTATTGCACCTTTGCATTTATAAATCAAATGTAATACACAGCAATAAATTATTTGGAAAAACAAAACCTTTCTTTCTAGGTTTTGGTTGCTTATGAATTTCTGGAAATCGTTAGCTAAAGAAAATCAGATATTCCGACTGCACTTAATGGGAATTTCGTTGAGGGAAACTGATCAAAACACTATGAATATAAAAGATGTATTTTATTCATAAACTGAAGATTTGAGGATTTATGAATATTACCCAAAACATTATCAAGAGACCAGATAATTCCAGCATAGAATCTGCAAAAGCATGTCATCTGTTATTCATGAATGAACGAATCCTCTGTCAATGTACATTATGACAGCATAAAAAACCAAATACGTTCCAATTAATTCATGACGGTCAGTTTTTGCTCCCATTGTTTTATCCACTATTTTATTACTTTACGGCGTTAAATCAGGCAAACTAGCGGACCTTTATACTGTTATTTTCATCAGGTGTCGTAATGAATAATAAAACAAGCACTGTAAAAGCTACCAAAGTCAATGCAGGCCAAAAAGTATAAATACTGTAGGGTAAAAGCTCAAATATCACATCAACAAGTACATTTTAAAGGACTTTTCTCATATACATTTAAACAGGGTTGACACTGCACATTTTGGAATTTCACTATTTTTTTTTCAGAAATTAAAGGGGGAAAAAGTTAAATTCAGACTAAGAATTTTTTACAGTATGCATAGGCGGTGCAGCTGTGTGTAAATACATGTAGTCCAACCTGCCTGCCTTTGCTATTGGTTGGCGTTCCTGCCTCACTTCTGGGGCAGCAGAGGTCATGTGATCCCCCCAACACATGAGGTAATGGTGAACTGCGCGACACAGTAGCATGAACATGCGATGTCGCACAATGGCCGATGTTTTTTAACATGCTTTATCCTCCAGGAGCCCTAGAGGTTAGAATGGAACTATGGCAACAGTGATCTTCCACGGAGCCTCGTAACCACATCAGGTTTAGACCATGTCCCATTGCAGGACATGCTGATAGTCCATCAAACGTGACAGTCGGGTCCTTCAAGGGTGACACTTCACTTCGACTCCCTAAATATCTTGCCCTTAAACTTCCGTGAGGCCCGAATTGTCCACCCTGTTTTCTCTACCTTACGTACCAAATAGGTCATGGTTCGGCATCCCAGCATCTCCATGCTGAATATCTACATCACAGTACAGCCTGCTTCCCAGAAACTCTGTGCTGAATATCTATATATACAGTACACATACATATAGAAACAGAAACACCTGATATTCTTTCCATTTCAGAAAATTGTATAAAAAATGCAACAATAAAAAAATACAAGATGGAGGAGCATTCATCCTCACCAATAATTATCCATGGGGCTGTGACCATTGTTAGGGGTGTGGCCACTGGTAGGTGTGGTCATTATGGGGGTGTGGCCATCGGTAGGTGTGGTCATTATGGGGGTGTGGCCACTGGTAGGTGTGGTCATTATGGGGGTGTGGCCAGAATGGCAGTCCACTCTATACGTTAGTCTCAAGGCCATTCATGTCGATGGTACAATGGTCCTTGTCCACATGCCTGTGTGGAGCTGGGAGCTTTTTCCTCTCTGTGGGACGCAATCCCTCTTCCAGCTGCATCAGCCGGGCGACGTCGGGTGGGATGCGCTCTGGCTTGATGCCCGGGGGTGGCTGGTAGCCACCATTCTTCTGATATGTCATGGCTGGGAGGGAATTGGCTGTAGGTTTGGTCTCACAGATGAGCGGCACCTGGGGGGCGGGGGAGTAGTCGCTGGTCTGAGCTGTACAGTGATTTTTACCTTTAATACACCATAGCTTTCAGTTCAGACATTTTGAAATACAAACATTTTTGTGGCTTTAAAAAAAGGCTTTGATTAAAGAAACCTGGAGATATTTTTTAAACCAAACCCATTAGTAATTCACTATCAAGGATAAAGATTCAGATAGATGTCCTTCAGATCTATTTCTCTATAACTCTATAACTCCTTTGTGCCGGTTGCTCACGGCTTTTGCTCATGGCCGGGAATTAATGCCTGCAGCTGTGTGATGCTAAAGTGTCTAAGTCATACATTAGATGTAGTATTTACCGCAGAGGTAAAGGTCTAGGATGTTTTATTTTATGCCACTATTTATGCCTAGATTTCCCTTCAAGAATTAATAAGGTCTGTTAGTCTGCCTGACTGTCTCTCTGTCTGCCTACCTGTCTGCCTATCTGTCTCCCTGTTTACCTGTCTCCGTATCTGTCTGTCATCCTTTCTGTCTGTTTGCCTGTCTCTCAGCCTGCCTATCTATCTCTATGTCTGCGTATCTGTCTCTCTCTCTGTTTGTCTGTCTCTGTCTGCCTGCCTGTTTGTTTGTCTAGGTCAGCCTGTCTGTCTATCTGCCTGTCTACCTGTCTCTCTCTGTCTGTCTGTCTGTCTGTGTATTTCTGTCAGCCTGTCTGTCTCTCTACCTGCCTATCTGTCTCTCTCTGTCTGCCTGTCTCTCTACCTGCTGGTCTCTCTACCTGCCTATCTGTCTCTGTCTGTCTGTCTGTCTGTGTATTTCTGTCAGCCTGTCTGTCTCTCTACCTGCTTGTCTGTCTGCCTGTCTTTCTGTCTATGTGTCTGCCTGCTGTTCTGTCTGTTGGTCAGCCTGTCTGCTTGTCTGTCTGTGTATCTTTCTGTCTGCCAGTCTCTCTATCTGCCTGTCTGTCTCCCTGTCTTTCTGTCTGTCTGCGTGTTTGTCTGTCTTTATGTCTGTCCTTTCAGACGGGTGCAGCGGGCTGGTTACCCCTTCCCCTTCCTTGATGAAGTCCTTCCTGCAGATGTGAGCCATGATTCCGGTAGCCAGCGCATCTCCCATCACATTGACCATGGTCCTGAAACGATCCCTGAAAGACACAAGCTCATGTGGGTCTCAAGGGCAGGTCAGATGTCGGATCAGTTCCGATAGGGTCCCCACTATGATATTTAACATGCTTCAATGTTTACAATGCATTCATAATGTTCATCTGATCACCCAGCTAGCTGTTTGTAAGTTTTAAAAACCAAAAAATTCAAAAGATATTCAAAAGTCAAATAATGAAAACGCTCACATTTTATGAGATTCATACAGTTTCTACAGGATTTACTTACAGCGCCCAATCAACTGCTATTATGAGAGTGATGTCATCAGTAGGCAATCCGACAGATGTTAGCACGATCACCATGGTAACGAGGCCCGCCTGGGGGATCCCTGCTGCACCTATGCTGGCTGCTGTGGCTGTTATACTGGGAGTGATGGAGAAACAGGCATGGGCTTTTCTCAACTTTCACCTGTGGCGACTGCCCCTGTTGTTAACCAGAGTCGACAGATGTTCTGGGCTTCATTCAAACACCTACGAGTCTCAAAGGGCCACATCACACATTACAGCTCAGGATGGGGGAGTAAGACCCACCTGTGGCAGTACTGATGTCTTGGACAAGAATAAAAATAGTAATTCAGCATGACTGAGGGATAATGCATCAAGGGCACAGAGGCCAGTCAGCAGTGATCATTAATCCAGTTCCCTGGGTTGGGTGGTGAGCTTTGTTGTGCAGTTTCTTGGAAAATGCATCAGATATTCTGAAGTTTGGACAGCCAGTATACTGTAAATGTGGATGGATTTTTTTTTTAGTTAGTAATTGATTTAAACTATCTGGGTCCTAGTTTTATGACATTCTTTACCGCAGAATGTAAAACAAAGATTAATTCCTTAAAATGACTTGATTACAGTTTCATCTTCAGGGCCAGTTTTCATCTTGCGTATGTGGTGTGTCGTGTCAAGTGCCCATAATATGGAGAAGTCAACCCTGGACAGCCTCTTAAAGGTTTATGGACTCGTAGTGCATAGTGGGCTAGCAGAACATCCTGCTCTTTTTCTGCACTCCTCTTAGTGGAAATCACCACAGTTTGGCCCCAAATCTGACAAAAAAATCGTATGTGAAATATCGCAGGCTTAACCATGCAGACACAGAGAGTGAAGGGCTGGGAAAAGCCTGTTTGAGGTCTGTTTGCTACAGAGATACTATGATAGACTGATGACATTTCATCTACAGATAAGTCTAATATAACATTAATAGAGTTTAACCAAGCAGTTCAGTAGTGGATGCCCTTTGCAAATGATTTCTCATACTCTTTCATAGCCATGGGTTATGCATGATGCAAACCATAAACCCTGTACCTTCTGTTCGGCAGAATTTTCCAACCTTGTTTCTGCCACAGAACACTTTTCATAGGGCAGCTTTTTTCAACCACCACCCCACCACGGATCCCCCACCCGGGCCTCCGTCTACCTGATGGTGATGATCTGCCCGAAGTCCAGCTCGTAGTTGTTGACCTGGGCGATGAAGATGGCGGCCACGGCCTCGTACAGCGCCGTGCCGTCCATGTTGATGGTGGCACCTACGGGCAGCACGAAGCGGATGATCCGCCGGTCGATGTGGTTGTTCTCCAGGAGGCACTTGAAGGTGATGGGCAGTGTGGCAGAGCTGTGGAGAGGAGATGGTGGGCGGACCAGTCAGAGCTCTCCCTAGGGCTGCAGGTGGGGAACGTGGTCACCCCATGGAGGTATAGACTATGAACATAACTGCAAACTCCCGAAAATTATGCTGACATGTGATTCTCAATCGGGTCTTCAGGGACCCCCCAGTAGGGAGCTCGGAGGGGGGGTCCCGAGGACCGGTTTGCATTCTCACAACATTGCTCCCAGTCTTCAGACCTTCCTGCAGCCTCTGTGATCCACTAAATATTGAAATACTTCTGCATATGACAATAAACTTTTGAATCAAGGATCGCCTATTTCTGGTTGCTGGAATTAAAACCAGGTTAAATATTTTGTTCTTCCCGGAATCTAAGTGTTTTGGAAAGTTAGCATAAGTAAACTTATTTTGTTTCAATTATATGGTTTGGTTGTAACGTAACAATAACAAAATATTTATTGAATAGTATTGTTGTGTATGGGGAGACTGAAGCTGGGTCTGCCTCGGACTCGGTACTGGAGGCCCACTGGATCGATCAGATGAGAGGTCAGGTTCTGGCACATATGCATGCAGTGTGGGCCAAGTCTGCTTGGATTTTTCCTCAACCTCATTTTTTCTCCAACTAAAACCAGATGCTGCCTGATCATCTCATCCCGTTTTGTGCGTTTAAGGGACAGCCGCAGTGGAGGAAAGGCTTCCGATATTTCACAGAGGTCAACGCGACGATTTCCAACTGAGGCGCAAATTAAAACGAAAGGAACAGAAAGCGGACGGCTGTGGGTCCCGGAGCTCTGTGACGAACCGGTCTAAGGTTCAGATGCAAAATAAATTATGGCCGACATCCCTTCCTCCCCACCCAGCGAGTCAATGCAATCCTGCAAACGCCCACACACACGTGTACAGAGCCAGTGAAGGCAAAACAGCCACACGGAGCGTGGACATGACAGTGACGGTCATCACATTGTTTGGTCTATCACTATTTCATTGTTTAATGAATGCCTTTGCAGGCTAGAAATTGGAAATGCATCAACACTGCTTATTTAGAATAGTGTGGCTTATTTTATATAGGCTTGAATCCCCGAATGTACAAACAGAGAATTCCCCGTTGGCTCCCGCAGTCCATGGAAGTGGCCATCGTTACAGACCTCTCCTCGTTGGACGAGCTCTGGAACTTCGTGTTTGGTAAGAAGCGTATCCACCATCTCCTTCCTGACCGTCCAGATGCACGTTTGCTAAGACTCTCTCTGGACCCACGTCCCCCATTAGAACATCTTTTTTTTTCTTCTTTTTTTTCAAAGAACTTTCCCCAAGGAGATGGATGCACATAGTGAACAAGCACGTTCACCATCTGCCATGTGTCTACGACTCAGATGACGCGGCAGAGGAGCATGTTGGTGCCTTCCTTGTCTGGCCATCCGTAGCTCTCAGATCTGAGCTGCCTTTTAATGGATCTCAGATAACGCCCGAGCTTAGGACTCTGTGATGGACTGGCACATCCTCCAGCATCTTCTCCTGCCTTGTGCCCTATGCTTCCTGAAATTATGGTTTATTTGCCTTTTATACAAGTACAGGCACATTGTAATATGTTTGTTTTTCTTGCATAGCTTATCTTGCTCTCTGAGACACACATGTGCACATATAGAGGAGAGAGCAAAGCTAACAATCAGCCAACAATCTAGTGGCTCTGGTGCATTTTTCAGGGGGTTAAAGACCCTGCTGAAGGGACCCAGTAGAGATGTACAGTCATGTGAAAAAATTAGGACCTCCATTAAATATTTAGTACTTTATTAAGAAATATCAACATATCAATATTTAAATCTTATTTCAAATTGTATTTGTAGATATATATGATGTAATTGCATCACCTAAAAACAAGAAACAAATTCACTTATTTAACAAAATAAATTTACTAAGATGCCATTTCCTGGTGAGGAAAAATTTAGGACACTTTCGCTGGCAGAAAGTTTCCCCCACTCTCCAATGCAGAATTCCTTAAGCTGTATGATGTTTGAAAGGTGTCTCACATGCACGGCCCGTTTCAAATCACCCCACAGCATCTCAATATGATTCAGATCCGGCTTTGACTTGGCCATTCCAGAACTCTCCATTTCTTTCTTCTAAGCCATTTCTTGGTAGATTTACTGGAATGTTTTGGGTCATTGATGATCTCACATTGTCCTCAAGCCCCCTCTGATACAATGAAGAATCCATAGTGGATTATATGATGGTGAGCTGGCCAAGTTCTGCTGCAGCAAAGCAGCCCCAAACCATGACATCTCCACCCCCATCCTTTACAGCTGGTATGAGGATCTTTTGCTCAAAATCTCTCTTTGGTTTAAACCAAACATGTCCTCTGTTACTGTGCCCAAATAATTCAATTTTAGATTGATCTGTCCAAAGCACATCATTCCAAGTCCTGGTCTTTGTCTAGGTGATCTCCGGCAAACTTCAGTCTTGCCCTGATATTTTTTTTGACAGCAAGGGTTTCCTCCTTGCACACCTCCCACGTAAATCAAACTTGTGCTGTCTCTTTCTGATGGTAGATGCATGTACCTTGACATTATTATGGCAAGAGCTTCCTGTATGTCCCATGATGACATTTTTGGAGTTTTGGAGACTTCTTTCAGCATCTTGCAGTCTGTTCTTGGGCTGAACTTGCTAGGACTGCCTAACCTGGCCATGTTGGCAATTGTTTTAAATGTTCTCCGGTTGTAAATTATTTTCCAGACAGTGGAATGGCTGATTCCAAACTATCTTTTTATATCCCTTCCCAGACTCATATGCATCTACAATCTTCTTTCTGAAGGCCTCAGAGAGCTCTTTGGGTCTCACCATGGTGATACCACTCACTTCAACAATCAGTAGCAAACCAAACTGAATGTCTGTGCTTTAAGTAAGACAGGTTCCACCAAAAAGCTCTGTAATAATGTTCTAATCATTTTCACCTGATGTGGTGCACTAGGATCTAATTCTAGGCATTTTAAATAGTAATGGATGTGAGGGTGTCCTAACTTTTTCCTCAGTGGAAATTGGCATCATAGTTAATTTTGTGTGTTAAATAAGTGAATTTGTTTCTTGTTCTTGCATAGGTGATACAATTACATCACCTTTATCTACAGATATGATTTGAAAGAAGAATATTGATATGTTGCTATTTCTTAATAAAGAATTAAATATTTAATGGGGTGTCCTATTTTTTTCACATGGCTGTATGTACTCTGCTGAATGCATGATTCAAACTGGTGGCCTTCTGATCTCAGGAACAGAGGCTAATGCACTGAACCTCACACACAGGGAAAAGGGCTGTTCACCCTCAACTGTTGCCAGAAGCTGGATGGATGGAGGAATATATAATTGGTGTACCTAGAGGATGTAGCCAGCGAGATGAGCAGGGCCTGTAGGATTCCTCGGATGTAGACAATGGGGCTCTTCTTGGTGATGAAGAAGTACATGCTGGGCAGGATGAAGAGCCCGTGCAGGATGAGACCCATCACCACAGTGACGGCGTAGAATCCCAGCTTCTTGCCCATATCAGATGGATCGCTCATCTCCAGGATCTTCCCGGCGACCAGGAACACGATGCCAAAGGGGAAATACCTACAGTGAAAATGTGACCCGTTAACCTGTGCCTTTCACATCAATCTCCCTTAACTGCTGATCCAGAGCAGGGTTGCAGTAATCCTGGGATGTATCCAAGGAAACAGAAGGAATGAGGCAGGAGACATTCTGCACAAGATATCAGTTAATAGCAGAGCGCACTCTCCCAGCTTTGGAAATGATGGCCAATTCACGTAACCGCATGATTTTAGACTGAGAGAGGAAACCAGAGGCTCCTCACACACAGAGCTGTGGACAGCAATGAACCCCCCCTCCCACCCTAGACGTGTGATAAGATAAGGTAAGACACTTTACTGATACCAGGGAGAAAATTCTCCACAGTTTACTGACCCAGCATGGTGTCCTTGCATTCAGAGCAATATTACTCTCACAGTAGAGCAATTGTCTGAATAACATGTGATGAAATCTACAGGAAGGCAGCTTGTACTTACCAGATGACGATGGCGACTATCTTCAGGACCGCTTCATTCAGACTCTGGCAGAAGTTGACCAGAGCACTGCCGTTAGGTCCCATTCTGCCAAGCATGATTCCTGAGGATGGAGATAGCGAATATTCACATCTGAAAGGGTGGCGGTACTATTTTAATATTTAGTCCTGTATATTATAAGGTTATGTAATAATCCATCCATCTATCCATTTTTAGAAATATATATCTAGCTAAGTTTGCAGTGGCCTGGCTATGGCAAGATACACATTGGACAGGACCACCCATTCATCATGGAGAAACATTCGTACTCTAATAGAGATTTTGATTCATAGAATCATCTAAATTGCAAGTTTATGAACTGAGTGAGGCAGGCAGTAGTCCAGACAGGAGAAATTCTAGGATTTTTTAAGGTTGGGGGATAAGAAGGGTCAAAATTTGTACAAAGATATAAACCTTATCATTAGCCAAAGATACGTCTTGATTTGGTGAGTGACAAAGGACGGGGCTCTCCGGGGGCCAATCAACCTTCAGTGCCCCTGTGGCCCCGCCCTGGTATATATCCCTGAGCCCAGAAGAACGTGAGCACTGTGCAGACACAGCTGGCACTTAATTCAAGGCTGAACCCCTGAATGTGAGAGGCAACAATGATGCTGAGTGAGCCACAGGGCCACCAGCACAGAATGAGAAGCTGTTTTACCCATTGTGGCCGAGAAGATGACGATGCCAAGCACGTTCATGCCCTCGCTGGTGCCGGGGAGGGTACGGAGGATGACATCGGGAGGGGGCGTCAGGTCCAGGGAGAAGTTCTGGACGTCTGTGCCGTTTTCATCCTGGATGCCGTAGATCAGGGACCGGCGGGTCGTGGACTCGGCCAGGCTCTGGCTGGCGGAGGGTTTTGGTGTCTTCATGATTGGGATGCTTCTTGTCCGATACTTTGAGGTACAGAAAGGAACAGAAGCGGTCAAACATAATAGTCAATATGGCAAAAAGCAAGTTTCATCTGACACATTGTTTCAGGGCTCAGTCTTAGTCAATGCCAGTAAGAGCACTGATATTTCTACCCTCTCACAAATGTGCTTCAAATTCATGTGGTTCTGAGCGCAGATTGAGCACAGCTGCTTGAAATAGCCTCCTGTTTGTCACCCGACGGGATGGATCACATGCTCACATCTCTGTCTCCTGCCAGCTCTGTTGGCTTTTCACTCTCCGATTCACCTGAAGTGGGGAGACTAAGGAATCCATATAGAAGGTAAAGCCCCACCATCAATCCCTCCCACCTGGGGCCCCTTCACTCTCAGCCAAGCCTGGCAGCATCACCACCCTAACAGCGGGCAATTAGGACCTCACAGGAGCTTGAGAGATGTGACAAAGCCCTGTGCTCTGAAGAAGAATCCTAGCAGATCTCCTGCCTCCCCTTTGGGCAACAGGGTTGGTGTAATGCAGTGGTCCTCAAACTGGTTCCCTAGGGGGGCGCAGAGGTATTGCGGGGGGGGGGGGGGTTGGGGGCCTCAGGGGCAAATAATCTCTTCACAAACTGGACGATTAAACAAATAAAGCAGCACAACATTACAGTAACTAAAAATAAATAAACCACTAACTTACGGGTACTATTAGAGCATTTTTGTAATTTATTTAATTTGACATTTTGATTTACGGTTTCCTTACCTGTTGAAAGGTAGCTTGAACCAGGTTTGCTGGAAACATGTTTCTAGAAGGGAGAGAAAAGGAAAGTGATTTGGTGGGACACTGTAACTTTCAGAGGTCATCTGAGTAGAAAACATTTTGGGAAGATACAAACGTGTGTATGTGTGTGAGAGAGACCCGTAAATTCTAGAGAGAAGGTTCCAATACAGTCAGCGATCATTGTGGGTTTACAAAAGGGCATTTTAATTTGACGAGTTTGAGGACAAATTAATTTGTTTCAAAGCATAACGCTGCCATAGAAAAACTTTACAACAAGCCAAAGCTAAGGAAAAGTTAACATTAACATTAACGTGACGCAAATGGCTGGCACACTTAAACATGCCAGAATTAATTCATTTTACACGTGTCAGTGAAATTAGCTAATGGTGTCATGTGGCATTGTGGTATGGTGTCCCAGTGCATAGTACTGTGGTTTCACACCCCTGGGATTGTGGGATAGAGTTGTGCCTCAGCTCAGTTTGTAAGCCGCGTATCCTGTAACAAGGCTGGCATCCCTCCCCAGCATGTGAACTGCTTCCTCAAATGAAGTGCAAATTTCCAAAACTCACCGTCTCAATCCATGGGATACATTTTTCAGAAAATTTCTGTTTACTCGTGAGTAAGTTTTGGAAATTTAACGAAAACTCTTCGCTGGATGAGAATTGAGTGCGTTTTGGTTCCCAGTGGTTCCTGCCTGGCCATAGAACAATGGAGAGACTATTTGCCTTTGCACGGTTGCGTGATGGTGTGTGGGAATACGCTAACATAGTCTACATCTGTTTTGTGGACTAGGGAAAGATATACGACCAAAATTCCTGGAATATACGGTGGGAGGTGGTGCAGGAGAATGGGCTACTGCTTGCTGCTTAGTCCTTGTATCAGGGCCAGCTTGGGCACCGTTTCAGGGGCCAAGGGCAAAGCTGCACTTGGGAGCTTCCACCAAGAAAGCTGAGGATCATTTCACTGCTTCCTCAACACAAGTAATTCGGAGTCCCTAGGCAGACGTCTGTTCTGCCTATAGCTACAGCTGACTCTGCCTGTATGAATATAAAAGTTTGGTGTCCACATCCTCCAAGTGTTTTGAAGTGGGTGTCGCATCTCCCCAACACTCCTGACTGTGATTATCATGGACAGGATGTTAAGGAGCAGCCGGGGCTGGAAGGCCATTCAGGTCGCGGTGTAGAGGTGACATCCCTGCTATTTAGCAGATGTCATTCTTTTAGCGGAATCCGACCAGGGACCCTGACTTCTGCTTCAGCAGTTACATGGTGGAAAGTCGGTGTGTGAAGAGGGACAGAGTAGGTGCCATAATGTCCTTGTTATTCGGTACTGGTAGATAATGAAAGGTGCCGGTACTCTGAAGAAAATCAAAGGGCACTTTTCCACTGCACCAGGTACCACACTTCTGGTACTTCAAGAAAGTATCAGAAATGCGGTACTTCAAAGTGTTGGTTTTCCACTGGTGTAAAAACTGGTACCAGTGCTGAATGACATCACAATGCGAGCCAAGGTATTTTGTACTGAATTCGAAAAATGGCTGTAGTATATTAATATAATCTATATAATACCAACATTGCATGTTATGCACATGCAATTCTTACATCACTGGTCAGATAGATTAAGATTAGGCTTTTTCTTACTTTCAGTTCTGTACGGATATTATAGCTCAGGGAGTTTAAAACATTTTTATTCTGTTTAAGGAAAAAAAACAACTTTTAGCACGTTTTACAATTAAAATGATTATTCCTTTTCAAGATTATCTAGTATATGTTTAAAAATCAGTTTAAAGTTTACCTCCGCTTCTTGTGCATGAGCGTTGCATGCGTTCCCCGAGACAGTCATAATCATTTTCATCCTTGCTGTTTAAATCACTCCTAGACGAGTTTGTGGGAAACTTATGTTGAACTCCTATTTTTTGCTTTATAAATACCCCAATATTTATTACAACAAAATAATACTGTGCTGTCCTAGTATATTATACAAAACACTTTATTTCTTGTCATGTCATCTTGATCTTGTTGAATATGTTCTTCAGGCCAGACATCTTTAGCTTGGATCTCTACATTTGTCCATTCATCCATTATTATTATGTTTTTTTTTTTTTTTTTTTAACTTTATCATTGTTTCTCATTGAGTACTCAACTGTTTCCATGGCAATGGTTGTATTGTGTTTCAGAAGCAGACTATTTGCATAACCAATCAACAAACAAAGCGTCGGCACTTTTGGTACTGGAACTTTTAGTACTGGTACTCGATGGGAAGTCAATGGAAAAGGGAAAGCACCAAAGGTACGGCACCTGGTGCAGTGGAAAAGCACCCTAAAAGGTGCAGGAGGTGTGTGTGTGGGGGGGGGGGTGACTGAAAGTCATGTTATTGTTACTGGGATGTTATGGACCTGAAAAGTATGAGGTGTCACAGACTGTCCTATTCCTACGTGTTTGTGTTGAATTACCCAGTCTGCAGGAAATACACAAGTAAGCATCTCATTGTACTCAGTACTCAATACTTGTACAAATGACAATAAACCTGAATCCTTTTAAGACCTTCCATGTGTCTCCTCATCACCCATAATCTCTCCACCCTGGGATATCCCAAGTCCAGGTCCACCATCACCACCAAACTCTCATCATGCTCTTACAGAAGTCAGTGAAAAACAGCCCAAAGACAAACTTGAACCAGATTTGCTGGAACAACACCAGCAGAAATGAATTCATTTTACAGTGAAACGGCAGTCAGATATTATGGAAAAAGCATGTCATTAAAACATAAGTGGCCTCTTTTCACACAGCCATTAGAAATTTTCTCAGTGGTAGCCTTAACTGAATCGTTTGATAATGATCTATTTCACTGACACACTATCTATTGAGCTAATTCTCACTCTGCTTGGAAACGGCTCACATTCAGACCTCATTCTGTGCCAGAAGACTTTCCAGATGCACTGGCTGTGGAAAAGAATGGTGGTTGCAGACGATATTTACAAATTTCTGCTCCATCCCTGTGCCTCCTCAAACTGACGCAAAGCCTCGGAAATCACGTGGAAACGTGCTCTGTTTGTGCCAAATCTCACTCCGCTCTGTGTTTGTAGCTGTGGATTCCATAATCCTTCAAACATCATTGTTTTTGTTTTTCTGCCTTTTGCTGTGTATATATTGTCATGATTAATGTATTTACATGATTATTTATCAGTATAACTTGATAACCCTAAAAGTGCCAAATGAGATATATATTAACACAAAAAACAACAGCTCTCTGTCCTAAAACCCAAATGTAACCATTCTATCTTTGGTGTGATTACATAGTAATAATTCAGTCACAGTGATCACTAAGGAGGCAAGCATCCTGTTTATAAACCAAAACCAGTCAACGATCTTGGACTCTGTCCTGAACAGGCCTATTGTGAAGCGAAAAAGACCAAACATTTCCAAATATTATTATTTTTTTACAGCTTTAATCCGCAAGTGTGCCACACAAGGTTAAAAAAAAGACAATTTGGAAAAACAACTTAAATAGGACATAGTTTAAAGTGTGGAAAGACAAGCTTTCAAAAGGAAGCCTCTGCAAATCAATTTCCGCAGAGTGTCTTGTTAAACTGAGGTAAAAGGAAGTTAAATGTTAAGGTTTCTCGCTGGAAAGAATGCAGGCATGTATTCATGCACTGAGAAATTCACTACCCTATCAAAACAAACTTCTTTGAGCTATTCAAGGTGCGCTGCACTACGACAATCAGCTGTGATGAAAATGTCCTCCAGGTTCCCTTTCATCGCAGATCGAACCTTAATTAATTTTGCCTGTTTTGTGCCATTTTAAGTTCCCTTTTACATCCCTCCAAAAAGCTATTTGGACAAATCAGGGAATCAATAGTTATATAACGCTTTTTATTTTATTGTGCATTGTAGCTGCCCTATTAAATTTACTTGAAGTTGTGTAACTTACATTGTTTCTTTTGCTTTATATCATTATTATAAATGTTTAATTATTGTATTTCTTTCATTATGAAGGCTAATGGGGAATGTAAAATACAGTAAAAATCTTGGCAACAACTCCAGAAGAATTGGAGTTGGCAAATTTAGTGTTTTACCCGGCATGCAGTTCCAGCCGTTCACACATCTGGATTTATATGACTCTCAAAGGTGTACAGTCCAGCAGATTATGGACCTCTGGCTATGGCAGGGGTTTGAATCCCGGGGCTGGCAGAGTAATTATATCACGGTTTGGCCCTTGAGTATGGCCCTTAACCCCAACTGCTCTGGGAATCCTGCTATCTGACCCCGGACTTTCCTCAGTTATATATTGCTTTGGACCAAAGCATCTGCTAAACAGATAAATGGAAATGTTTTGCAGGGGTCTCACTGGGGAATTCCACTATCCTGCCATGCTACACTATAGATGTAAAACTGTTCACAAAAAAATGAATGAATGAACACTGCACTTTAATTTGCCATTGTCACTGTCACTCTGTCACTGTTTTCCTTCAGTCCTCCCAGCCCTTCCCAGTGTTCCCTATTGCTCCTTTCATTTATTATTATTTTTTTTGTGGGGGGGGGGGCTTCTGGATGATGCTGAATCTATAGCAAAGCAGGTGTCAGAGCTTTGCAATCCATCACAAAAGCAGGAGGTCCAGACTGAAGGGCTCCTTTAGGTGTCAGTGGTCAGAGAGCTTCTCCCCTCTGTCAAACATGCCAAGGGAAGTCAGAAATAGAGGAGCGGGGGCCACGTCTCCCCCAGTCACATTTGGTTCCCCATGCAGCTGCAGTGACCTACACCTTCTACAGCTTTAACCATGTCCTCAGTGATGTCACATCAACAGGTATCTATGTAGCACCTAACAATACTGGGAAAAACAATCACATTGCAATATTTCTGGGTTTTGCAATTGCCGTTCATAACGGCGCCTTTTGCTGTTTAACACATTTCTGTCATGATACAGAAAAGATGAATTAACGGTCCTTATCTTTCATTATAAATCCATGTGTTACTGAAGCCAATTTGCTGCACATGCAGAACACGAAGATGAAACATACCTAA